AGAACCGCGGCAGGAGGGCGTCCCGGGCAATCGCCTGCGGGGTCCGCGATGCGCCCTCTCCACGCGCGCCCTGGAGGGCTTTTTCTCCCTCCGGGGCTGGAGGAAGCATCGAGGCAGGGTTGGTTAGGCTCTTACGGCTGCTGGGAACGAGAGCGAGCCGTGGCTTGTGCAACTACCAGCACACCGCGCATTAAACGAAAGGAAGGAAAGGTTCGTTTCGCCTCGCTTGCCTCCGCGCGCATGATGTGCTTCAACCCGCGCTTCCTGGTGCTGAATCGGTGGGCCCAGTTCACACAAGACGCTAAGCTGGGGCGGGGCTGGCTCGCTCGCAGTCCAGGGTGCCCTGCAAGTCCACATGGGCATGCTTGCTCCCACCCCAGCAGCAGAGCTAAGTTCTCTGCTTATGTCCACGAATTTCTTTCCAAGGCAGCAAAACTGGAGAAGACCAGGGGAGGGCGCCAAAGAGATCGGTTTCCCATGTTGCTTGGCTGCCCTCATGTGGCCATCCAGGGTGTGCATCGTAAACTACTAGCCCTAGACTTTCAGGGGCCTTGGACTACAGTTCCCCAAATCCTGTGTCATAGTTGGGTCATCTGGCAGCGATGGCCATCAAAGTCCAAGGCGTTGGTGGGCACCCTATTGGTTGCCTGGTTTTAGGTGACACATGGGTTGGGTTTACCCAACATGCAGAGTTTGGTTGGGATGAACTTAAATGAACCCATAGCTGTCATTCCAAAGAGCAGCTACAGTGAAAACAGGACACTAGGACTCACTTTCTTCTGGAGATGTTTCCTCAAACTTCTCTTCCTTTCATGCTTGGTCTTTATGCACACAGACACCTTCATTCTATGCAAAATACCTTTTCAGGTGCAGTGCCTTTATTCCCCACCTCCACCGGCCACCAGCATTCTTCACAGATTTGATTCCTCCTCTCATAACCTGAGAAAGTCGGTGGTTTCAGCGGCCACTTTACTCTGGAATACACATTGGGAGGGAGCCAAGCGGCCCGTCTCCATGCCTGTCCCAAGGAGACGAGGCTGCTGGAACTGGCAACAAAACAAAACCAAAAAATTGAAGACAAAAGTTGGCAACTTCAAGGCATCAGATAAAGCCGTCAATGAGATCTGCAGCCACGAGGGAGGCAGAAAGCGAGGCTGAGCATCTCCAGTGCCAGGGGGCAAGACATGGCGAAGGAAACACAGAAGGGAATGGAGTAACTGGGAAAGGGGCAGGTTTGCCTGGCTGGTTGGCTGGGAGGCAGGTAGACAGATAGCCTTGATCAGGAGCAGCGTGGATTGCCCTATTCGTCACAGGCCCCAGATGACTCAGTCCCGTGGGTGGCAAAAGGTTACAAAACATGCTGTTACCCCTTTCCTAATTCACGATCCTTGGGGACATGGAGAAGCGGCTGTCCCCAGGAGAAGAATAGGAGTGCTAGGCTTTGCATCAATTTTCTGCCTGCATTCCTTCCCTTTCGCCTCATTAAAGTGAACGTGAGTCAGTCGCCTTTGCTCTGCACTGACTCTCTGGACGTTTAATCCCCAGGTTGATGTGTGTCACCCCACACCTGTGTGTGTCCAAAAACGCACTTTCCTCGCCCCACACATCCCCCTCCTTTTCCTGGCGCCACCGTGCAGACCCTGCTGCAAGCTTCGAGCGGGCCATCAGCCACATATACTTAGAGAGCGGGGCTAGTGCTGGCATGAGGCTCCTCGGGCCTCTGCCAAGGTGCAGCAGCTGGCCAAGGGGCTGTGCTGCCCATTCATTGGGTTCTCTGGGTCAGGGAGCGGCGAGGAAGCCGGCCAGAGGAATGGAAAGGTGAGGCAACTGCCATTCACCTTTCTGGGGTGGGGACAAAAGAAAAGAGTGACCCGTGGAGAAAAATCAAGACATGATGTCAAAGGGGGGAGTGGCCAAGGACCTCCCCCAAAGTCACCTTGGCAAAGGCGCCCCATCATTCAGCATCAAGACCATCCACAGGCCCCTTCTGATCCCCTGGGGTAGTGAGTGCACGGGGGAAGCAGTCTCTGAGGGGCAGAACCCATCCTTAAAGAACTTCCAAGGTGGCATTTTCTGGGTTTTAAAGAATAAGTCCAGGACTTTCTCTGGAGGCCCTTTATTTTTCCAAATCCAAGCACATCTCCTCTCTTTGCCATTAATGGGTTGGGGGCCTAATTGTTTGAGGAGGGAGCCCTTGATGGCCCCACACTCCTGCTTTTCACCATCTGGATTGGGCTGGCCTTCAGAGCACCAAGATGGATGTGCCAACTCTTGCCTTTCAGAAATGCTGGGACAATGGCTTCCATCTACAGATCTGGGAACCCTGGTCGTCCTCCTGCAACTCTGTGTTTGAGAGACACAGAGCCGCTGATTGCAATGTCCATGGGGCTGAGGTGTCAAGCCAGTGTTTGCAAAGGTGCAGTTTCATGGCCTCGATTGTCCCCAATGAGCTTCCAGGCTTAGTGGAAACCTGTCCCCCACCCTTTCAGCCAAGTGGCATATTGCAAGGAATTTCACTGGCAGATGCCATCTCCTGGTAGCGAAAAGGTCACCAGCACAATCACAAAAGGTAATTTGTTGTGTTGGAACTTGATACTTATTCCGTATTTCTGCAGGGACCGGGGGAACGTTGGAGAAAGAGTGGAGGAAGTTCCCCACTTCCAGCTGCAACTGCCCCAGCTTCTCCTCTCCAGTTCATTTAGTGTGGTCTTCCACCCACTGGCAAAATCTCTGGGCATAATAGGAAGGCTCGACCGTGGAGAATTGTTGGCCCCGGTACCGGATGCTCTTCCACAGATGTTCCAGCTTCTTGCGGAAGTTGTAGACCGTGAAGAGGTCAACGATCCCCACAAAATAGCGGTAGTCCGGACCGTCGAATGTGTGTAAAGGGTTTTTGGAAGCGGGCAGGATCCGGCGATGCTGCGTGACAAACAACTCGCTGGACGAGATGGAGAGGCTGGACGAGTGCACCACATCTCCCAAGATGCAGCTCATGTCGTCGTAGCTGTTCTGCATCAAGTACGGCCTTAGCACTTCCCGCATGAAGCCCTCGCTCCTGAACAACTGCTCCGGTGACCGGTCCATGCTGGGTTTCGGGTAGGGAGACAAGAGATCTGGAGACAGCACTTGCATCTGCTCCGAGCTGGGCATGGTGGTGAAGGAGGAGCTGGAAGGGCCTCCGCGATCAAATGTCCCCGAGGCGATGCTCCGGTGGCGGTAGTCATAGTTGATGGACCTGGTAGCAAGGAAGAGGAAGGTCAGACGTGTGCCACTGATTTTGCCCATTGGGGTGTTGGTGTGTGTGTCTCATTCACTGCCAGAAATGAATAAGGGGCCACCTTTCTACCTTTCAGGGGCTGCCTGGTTGGATGAAGGCTTTGACTTCATTTCCTTCCCACTTTGTTTTTAAGGATCTTTCTTTGATACGTATTGTTCTAACTTAATGCGTGTAGCACTGGATTTGAATTGCTCTGTTGTGAATGTCTACGAGATTTAGAACAAGGGGAAGCAGTATGTTAAGGCGGTGTTTCTCAACCTTGGCAACTTTAAGATGGGTGGACTTCAACTCCCAGAATTCCTCAGCC